TACGATATAATCCAGCAATCCTAATGATGGGTATATATACAAAGGAATGGAAATCATCATGTCAAAGGGATACTGCACTCCCATGTTCATCGCAGCTCTATTTGCAATAGCCAAAATATGTACTGGATTAGGAAAATGTGATATGCATACACAATGGAATACTACTCAGCCATAAAAAACAATGAAAGTCTGCTATTTGCAGCAACATGGATGAGCCTGGAGAAAATTATGTTAAGTTAAATAAGCCAGACACAGAAAGAGAAATAGCTCATGTTCTCACTCATAACTGGGTACTGAGAGAGAGAGAGAGAGAGGAAAAGAAAGAGAAAAGACCAAAACAATACACTGACCTTTCAGAAGGGGAAAACAAAGCTAAGGATACTAGAGATGGAGGGGGAGGTGGGATGGGTGGTTTGTGGAGGGATAGGTTGGGTAAAGGGCATAAAGAAAAATCACAATTTGTAATAGTAATATGCTTAAAATAAATAATAAAAAAGATTAACAAAGGGATATGTATTTCTAGATTATTAAGTAAAATAAAATGTTTAAGTTGTGCATTTACAGTTTTTTTATGATACTCTGTCTTAACTGGCTTTGTGATAATTGCTTGTCCTTATCATGTTCAATAAGTAATTTCTACAGTACTAAAATCTCTCCAAAAAAGAATATATTATCTTTGCTACTGTTCCCATCAAGTTTTACATAATATCAGAGACAAAATCACTTTAAATTTTTATCCTAAAATTGAATGCTAGAATCTATTTGAATTTGGGATTTGCAGAAGCATACATAAAATTATCAGGGCTAATTTTAATTTTTATAAAGTAATTGTAAGAATACAAATTAAACCTACCTCACTTGTATCCTTAAGATACTGAAAAGATCTAGTAGATCTTGATTTTAGATTTTCTTCTACTGGTTCTAAAGAAACAAACCCAAACATAAATAATATTTTCATAATATTATACTACTTCTAAATAAACCCAATAAATCATTTTCTCTACTAGTAGTAAACTTTTCAAAAATGTAGTTTAATAATCTTATTTGCTTACATATGCATTGCTTTTGCATTTTTAGAGCTAAATCTGTTCTATAATAATTTGTTTTAAAAGTTTGTATTAATAAAATATAACTTTCAATTATTTACCATTCTACAATAAAGCTGTATCTTCTTGGAAAACAATGGATTTCTAAATAAAATAGAATCATACGTTCTATTCAAAGGAATCTTTTGATTAATTCCTTTGAAAAGAAAAATATTCCCCTCAACCTTCATTCTCCCATCCCCAAGTATCATTTTTATTAATCTGAATTATCATCTAATGGGTTTTTTAAGGTAAATATAGTGTAGTGGTCAAGTACACAGACTTTGGATTTAGATAGCTTCGATCCAAATCCCATCTTTTTTTGGTGAGTAATGTAACCTTAAGAAAATTACATAATCTGAGTTTTACTTTCTTCATTTGTTACTAGGAAATAGTAGTACTTATAGGAATGCTGTAAGGATTCAACAAAACAACAGATGTAAAAAACTTAATAATGTAGTCTGATAATCAACAGTTATTTATTGATCACCTATTATATGTCAAGCACTAATGCTGGTCTCTGAAATTGTGATTTCTGCCCAGTGATACATACATTTTAGTGGGCAATATCGAAAATAAACAAGTAAAAAGAAAAAGGAGTGAATAATAATAAATTGAAATATGTGCTGTAACGGAAGTAAATGTATTTTGGTAAAGGAGCCAATAGAGGAGGTATAATTTTGATAGAGTTATCACAGGAAGCCGCTCTGAGTAGATGACACTTAATTGAAACATGCAGATGAGGAGTAAACTATGTAAATAAAGAGTGTGAATGTGTCTAGTCAGAGGGGAAAGCATAATTCTCTGAGGCAATCTGGCAGTTGTACTGAAGGAGGCTAGTGAANTGCAGGGCAGGCTTAAAAGCAATGGGTCAAATTTAGAACAAGAGGGCTGGCTGGTTGCTCCGTTGATCAGAGTGTGGTGCTGATAACACCAACGTCCAGGGTTTGATCCCTGTGCTAGCCAGCTGCCAACAACAAAAAAAAATTAGAGCAAGAAGTCACTAGCCTTCGTGAACAATTCCTCCAAGAAGATTGGAATGGATTTCACTCGATAGAGAGAATGAGTAAGAAACTTGATCAAATCCACATGTTAAGAAAGTTACATGTTTCTTTTTTGGAGGCTGCATATCTTAGTGGTAAAGAGCATGACTCAGACTGCTGGCTTCTTCCTGGTTCTGTCACATACTATTTGATCTCAGACAATTGGTTTATCTTCTTTGTGACTCTTTTTTCTCATCTAAAACATAGGGATAATAGTATATAATTCATTTGTTATTGAGGGTGTAAATTTTCTTCGAATAGTGCTTGATGCACATAAGCACCATATAAATGTTTGTTGTTATTATTACATTCTCACAAGAAAAAAGAAAGGTAACCAGAAATTCCAGGAAAAAAACCAAAAGTGTACAAAAAGCCCACGTATTAATGTGAGGGAAACTGAGTAATGGCTGGAGAATAAGAAAAGAGAGCCTGTTACTTTTTATATTGCATCCATTGAGAAGAAAGGTAATCCTAGCACATTACTTTCTCTTATGATGAATAACTATTTACAGTGTTATAATAATGCTATTAATAGCACTTTGAGCTTTAGAATTAACCTACAGTCAAAACATAAAGGCTTAATTAGAGTTCCAAAGTTGAACATAATCATTGACCTCAAAAATGAAAAAGTACATATATACTTGACCTAAGGAGGAATGTGAGGAGGAGAGTTGAGGAAAGAATAAGACTGCTAAGATCTTCATCTTTATATAAAGGGAAATCAGGAGTTAGTGATGAAAGATTATAGAAAAGAAAAATATATATATATTATTTCAAGTTACAAAAGTTAACAATAGAAGAAGCAAAAATGTAACTATCAAAGATTTAGAAGAGGAAAGAGAAATGAGAGGTGAGATGTGGAGTAAACAAGCTAATTCACAATCTTTTCATTGATTATTCAGTAAATAATGGTTAAAGTTAGTAAATTAAAAACAGCAGTAGAAATTCATTCTTTAGAATTATGGAATTAGTCATAAGAGGAACTGAAACCCTAAAAGGTTACACATGGTTGTCTCTGAAAAAAATAAAATTAGGAGAGAAAATATAGGATGAAAGGGCTAGCCTTTCTGTACTATTTAATTTTTAAAATCACATGGATTTTTTAAAATTAAAATGTTTCGTGTTTTATGTAAGATGCTAATAAATTTATTATGAGGAGTAAACTGATTGTGATGCTATAATGTTTATTTCTTGGGAGATTTTCATTAAACATGAACTTAAATGAACCATGTGGAAGAGGATAAAACTAATAATCTGGAGAGTGAATCTTGTTAATATTTTTTTAAATGATCAAAGGCAGGAATATGCAGCAAAAATGATCATTGTTATTAATTATGGCCATAAGTATATATTTCTTCAGGTTTCTTTTTTTCATATTAGCTATAATCAGTGTAATAATAAATAAGTTAGTACTTAAGAGACTCTCTTAAGTGACTTTCCCTTGCTGATTCTCTGGATTAATTTATCTCTCTTGTCCCCTAGATAAAACTTGCTGTAGTGGACTGAATTATGTCCTCCCAAAACTCATTGAAGCTTGTATTGTGTCCGTCAAGTTCTATATATTAGAAACTTGGTCCCCACTGTGAATGTTAAGAGGGTGGGAAATCCTATTACGGTAATTGAAAGGTGGAGCCTTGAAGAGGTGATAGGATTGTAGGACCCTGCAGTAGTGAATGGATTAAAAATGGTGGTCAGGGACATGGATCTGAAGGTTTTAAAAGAAGAGGGGAGTCTATCTTGCTCTCTCTGCTTCCACCGTCTTGCAATGTGAGACTCCTGGGTCACTGTCACTACCACCAGATGGACTTTGGACTTAGCCTCAGAAACTGTAAGCAATAAATTTCATTGTCTTTGTAAATCACCCAGCTCAAGGTAATTTTGTTATAAGCAAGGGAAACAGACTAATACACCTACTGAATGATGTCCAATGCATGCTCAATGCCCAGAGCTACTCAGTTACTTTTCAGTATGCCCATGAACCTCTGCTCAAGTGATTATCAAGAGTCAATAATGTTGGTTCTAAACCTATTTGTGATAGTTGCTATCATAATGATATAATTTGTTTAACTATAGCACACTCAAAAAATGGTCTTGGCTACACATTAAAAGATTAAAATAAATGCTCAACATCACTATCATTGGAGAAATGCAAATCAAAGATATGCATACACAATGGAATACTACTCAGCCATAAAAAACAATGAAAGTCTGCTATTTGCAGCAACATGGATGAGCCTGGAGAAAATTATGTTAAGTTAAATAAGCCAGACACAGAAAGAGAAATAGCTCATGTTCTCACTCATAACTGGGTACTGAGAGAGAGAGAGAGAGAGGAAAAGAAAGAGAAAAGACCAAAACAATACACTGACCTTTCAGAAGGGGAAAACAAAGCTAAGGATACTAGAGATGGAGGGGGAGGTGGGATGGGTGGTTTGTGGAGGGATAGGTTGGGTAAAGGGCATAAAGAAAAATCACAATTTGTAATAGTAATATGCTTAAAATAAATAATAAAAAAGATTAACAAAGGGATATGTATTTCTAGATTATTAAGTAAAATAAAATGTTTAAGTTGTGCATTTACAGTTTTTTTATGATACTCTGTCTTAACTGGCTTTGTGATAATTGCTTGTCCTTATCATGTTCAATAAGTAATTTCTACAGTACTAAAATCTCTCCAAAAAAGAATATATTATCTTTGCTACTGTTCCCATCAAGTTTTACATAATATCAGAGACAAAATCACTTTAAATTTTTATCCTAAAATTGAATGCTAGAATCTATTTGAATTTGGGATTTGCAGAAGCATACATAAAATTATCAGGGCTAATTTTAATTTTTATAAAGTAATTGTAAGAATACAAATTAAACCTACCTCACTTGTATCCTTAAGATACTGAAAAGATCTAGTAGATCTTGATTTTAGATTTTCTTCTACTGGTTCTAAAGAAACAAACCCAAACATAAATAATATTTTCATAATATTATACTACTTCTAAATAAACCCAATAAATCATTTTCTCTACTAGTAGTAAACTTTTCAAAAATGTAGTTTAATAATCTTATTTGCTTACATATGCATTGCTTTTGCATTTTTAGAGCTAAATCTGTTCTATAATAATTTGTTTTAAAAGTTTGTATTAATAAAATATAACTTTCAATTATTTACCATTCTACAATAAAGCTGTATCTTCTTGGAAAACAATGGATTTCTAAATAAAATAGAATCATACGTTCTATTCAAAGGAATCTTTTGATTAATTCCTTTGAAAAGAAAAATATTCCCCTCAACCTTCATTCTCCCATCCCCAAGTATCATTTTTATTAATCTGAATTATCATCTAATGGGTTTTTTAAGGTAAATATAGTGTAGTGGTCAAGTACACAGACTTTGGATTTAGATAGCTTCGATCCAAATCCCATCTTTTTTTGGTGAGTAATGTAACCTTAAGAAAATTACATAATCTGAGTTTTACTTTCTTCATTTGTTAATAGGAAATAGTAGTACTTATAGGAATGCTGTAAGGATTCAACAAAAGAACAGATGTAAAAAACTTAATAATGTAGTCTGATACTCTGTAGTCTGATAAATAACAACAGTTATTTATTGATCACCTATTATATGTCAGGCACTAATGCTGGTCTCTGAAACTGTGATTTCTGCCCAGTGATACATACATTTTAGTGGGCAATATCGGAAATAAACAAGTAAAAAGAAAAAGGAGTGAATAATAATAAATTGAAATATGTGCTGTAACGGAAGTAAATGTATTTTGGTGAAGGAGCCAATAGAGGAGGTATAATTTTGATAGAGTTGTCACAGGAAGCCGCTCTGAGTAGATGACACTTAATTGAAACATGCAGATGAGGAGTAAACTATGTAAATAAAGAGTGTGAATGTGTCTAGTCAGAGGGGAAAGCATAATTCTCTGAGGCAATCTGGCAGTTGTACTGAAGGAGGCTAGTGAAGATGTAGTTAAGTGAAGGGCAGGGATGCAGGGGATTGGGTTGTATATAAAGGCAAAGGTACAGCATGAAGGGTCTTTGTAAGGAGTACAAGTTTCATATTAAGTGTGGGGAGAAGCCACTGAAGAGGCTTTAATCAGGAGATAACCTACTTTAAAATGATCGCTAAGATTTTACAAAAGAAGATGGATTAGAGATTTCTGCAACCATTATGGAAGACCAAGTAATTAGTATCAGCCCTCAAACTGAAGGCCTCTGAAAGGGATGGATGAAATATTTTTAAAAGTCCGAAGAGTATCAAAGAACTGAAAGATGGGAAGGAACTTCTGGTCCTAAATCTCAGAAAATGT